AGAGAGAATAGGGTTAGGTTTGGGTTATGGGTTTGGGTAACGGGTTCGGGTTCGGGTTATGGGGTTTTAGTATCGTTTTTATTTTAAAATCGTTTGAGAGAGGAGGGGACCGCACCGTGACATTCATTCCTGCCCAGCCGACGATCCCCAACGCCGAATCCCTCCGCATCTCTCGCCTCCTTGACTCATTCGCTACCGAAATCCACCTCATTAACCTCCTTGTAGAACTAAACCCTGACTCATTTCCTACCAAAATCCACCTCCTTGACTCGTTCCCTCCGCCGCTGACCCTTTCTTTCACCGCGTAAAAAGCCATCTGCCCCGCTCCGCTCACCACCACCCTTCTCTTCTCGCCTCCATCTCCGATCCCATCTCCGCCGTCATCGTTGTTGTGAATCGTGACTTTGAACATGAGAATCAAAACTTATTTCGGATATCTCATCTGACGCATGAAGCATGTGAATAATGAATTCACACATTGAATAGGACAAATTTTCAAAAACGATCTCTTTCCGCGTTTAATCCTTAAAAAAAATCATTTCCACAATATTTTCAAAAACCGACCTGGTTTCAGTCTTGGCGTGGAAACCAGGTTGGCTTTTTAAAAAAACTTCCGAAACTTTACGGGAGTTCGTGAAGTTTCGGAAGTTTAGTAGCTTTACTAAACTTCTCCCGTGAAGTTTAGTAGCTTTACTAAACTTTACGGGAGTTCGTGAAGTTTCGGAAGTTTAGTAGCTTTACTAAACTTCACGGGAGTCCCGTGAAGTTTCACGTGACTTCAAGTCCCATGAAGTTTAACAGTCATTTTGTTAAGCTGCTAAACTTCACGGGACTTGAAGTCCCGTGAAGTTTCAAAGTTTAAAAAACTTCACGGGACTTCAAGTCACGTGAAGTTTCAAAGATTAAAAAAAACTTCATGGGACTTGAAGTCCCGTGAAGTTTGTTTTAGTATTGAAACTTCACGGGACTTGAAGTCCCATGAAGTTTCAGGCTCATTTTCAAGAGAAGCGCGGCTCTGGAAAATGAGAACTGCAACTCCACAAGACTTGAAGTCCCGTGGAGTTTTCGCTCTGCCTATATAAGGCAGAAGCGATCTTGACCCATAACCCTAACCCCTCTCCTCCTCTTGAACCCGACCCCCTCACCCCTGGCCCTCACCCCCTCCCCTCCGCCCTCACCCCCTCCCCTCACCGGCGCCGCCACCGCCCCTCTCGTAGGCTCCTACCGCCGGCCCTCACCGTCGTTGTCATTGCCAGAGTTCACCGGAATTAGGGTATCATCAATATTAAGGTAAAATCTTAAAAAAATTAATTCAAATTTTTTGTATATTCTCATAATTTCTTGGTGATTACTTGTAAAAATTAGATTTTTAAAGAAATTTGTAATTATTTATGAAATTTGTGAAGAAAAATTAAATAATATTATGTATGAAGTTAGAGGGAAAATTATCGAAATTTGTAACCGTGAAGTTAACAAAATGTCAAGTTTATGGGTTTCTAATATCAATCTAAGAGATTTAATGGTTAAAATTATGGGTTTCTAATTATGGGTTTCTAATATTGATATCGAATTTTTTACTCTTCAGAGGTAGCAATGAATGATCGAATCGTAATTCTTTGTTCATATGATGGAAATATTAATTATCTCGAAAATAATATGTTCGTTTATGAAGAAGGTGTCATGAAGCTGTTGTTTATATTAAAATCGTTTACTTTCGATGAATGGTTAATGACTTACACAAACTTACATTAACCAACTCACGTGAGTATCACCTCAATATTATTTGCAATTATCCTGTTGGGGGAACATAACAAGCGGCATTCAAATCTCAAGTGACTATAATATGGGTCTCATTGGAGTGTTACACGACGAGAAGCGTTAGGTGGAATTATTTATTAAAAAACATCAGAGAAATTTGGGCAAATCGGTGAATCATGACGGAATATACTCCCGCATTGTTGGAGGACCTTGAAGTTGACTCCGTTGGTTTTTTATCTCTGCAACCAGATGAATGTTGGACACAGTCACAATACGTGAAGGGCCCTTCATTTGTGGGCACTTCTAATATCGATACTAACATGGCCCATCTAGATGATAATATAAGTGTCAAATCCGAGGATGGTGATGAAGAGGATGGCTTACAAATTAATAGCATGATGTGTTTGATTGATTGTGATGAAGGGGACAACCAATATATAGACGAATGTTATACTAATAATGAGTATGTCGTATTAGAGGATCCGTCACCCGATGAACTTTATGCAAAAGAATGGATTGATAACTCAACGATGGAAAGTATTTCTATCGGTACTAATATCGTTAGTGATACACAAGGTGAGGACTTCTCATTCAAGAAGGGGGATCTATTTGAAAGTAATGAGAAATTGATCCATGCGCTTCGTTTGTGGGCCATTAAAAAATACCAAGTTTAGGCCAATAAAAAATAACGCAACAACCTATAATGTAGTTTATTTTTATCGCAAAGATGGCGAAGATAAAGATAATGGTGGACACCACGACGGTAATGCAAAATATCCTTGGAAGCTTAATTCACGCTTGGGTGTAAGAGTAGGCGCGCAATTTAAAACACGGCTTACAACGAACTCCACACATGTAGGAACCCTCGATTAGAGATGAATAACAAGCATGCATCTGCATCTTTTATATATCGATTGATTTTACCTAATCTAAGGGAGGATCTTGATCTAAAGCTAAAAGATATTCGTCTCAAAACTTGGTGCAAATATCCTCTCAGAGCTCACGCCGAAGGTTGAAGAAATGTTAGCGGTTCGGATTGTCTCCACTCGATCATTTCATATTGTAAGATACAGTTTTAATGAATGAGAGGTCATTGAGGGAATATCACATAGATAAATTCGATCCTACAAAGTCAATATGCTAGTGGATTGCACGTGTAAGTGCACTTGCAATGTACCACAACTACAATTGATTCCTTGTTCACATATTATCGCGGCTTGCTCTGATCTACAGGGTGGTGCGAGGATTTCACATAATGAATTCGTCGCAAATTGGTATTCAACTTATAACTATCAACAAATGTACAACGAGTGTTTTCGTCCACCATATGATAGTCGACATTGGACACAAGACGGGCCACGGATATTACCTCCTTTGTATAAAAGATCGGATGAGCGTCCTCGTTCCGTATGAATTAGAAATTCCATGGATGACGGTCAAGAAGGAATTAGGAGGAAAAATAAGTGTAGTAGATGCGATCAACCGGACAAAAAAAAAGCAGTTGTCCAGCGAGGATTAGGCGTTGATTTTTTATGTTAATGTTTGTTCACATGTGACATTCATATTTGTAATATGTAGTATTTTGTACTATGTTTGGGATATAATTTTATTGTTTGATTTCTAATGAATCATTATTCACATTGCACATTCGTTTGTTGTAATATATTAATCTTAGCTATCCATTATGGATCCGGGACCGATACATGACGACGTTTTGTACCTCCAGGCGAATCATTGTTCAGATCTTATTAGCTCAGGACAGGTAAAACATTTTTTGTATATATAAAAATATTCCTTATTTTTGGCACTAAATTTAATTTTTCTCAATATACTTAATCAATTTTGTTTATTGTGCAGCCTGTACCAGACATTACCATGGTCGATCATTCACAGAGTCATTCAGCTTGGGTTATTGAGGATGAGAGAGTACTAGAGTTGATAGCTCAAGCCGAGTTCTGGGAGTGTTCGGCAGTGTGATATATTAGGCTTAATTGGCCGCTTATCAGTGCACTTATTGAGAGGTGGATGCCAGAGTCTAACACCTTTCATATGCATATAGGGGAGTGTACTATCACATTACAAGACGTAGCCATCATATTTGGGCTCCGCATCGATGGCCCAACAGTTAGGGTACCGATGATCATAATTAGGCTAAAGTATGTGCTAGGCTTCTTGGTCAGGTTCCTGACTGGTACGATGAAGCTATTGTGGCTTCGTATGACATTTCAGGGAGATATACCAGGTGATGCTTCCATTGAGACGCTTCAGTATCATGCTCGTGCGTATATATTGCACATGATAGGGTGCATGCTATTTCTTGATGGGAGCAAGACTCTTGTACGTGCACGATGGCTACCACTACTAGAGGATTTTGGTGTATGCGGCCCACTATCATGGGGCAGTGCTGTGTTGGCATACTTATATAGAGAATCAGGTAGGATATCCTTGATGCAGAATAAAGAATTCAAGGGATGCTGCACATTGATATAGATTTGGTCATGGGAGCGCATTCATATTGGACGACCTACTTTGCTTGTGCACCGTGACATACAGGGCCAGTTTCCTTTGGCATACAGGTATAATTGTCCACACAATTTTATTCATATTGAATTTGTACTCATATATTATTTATGCCAAATAGGTATAACATGCGATACGCTAAGTACAAATCAGCGACGTGACATCGTGAGTTTTACCGAAATAAGCTTGATGGCCTCCAACACGAACATGTAAATATAAATCTCAAGTTGTTATGAATATTATAGTTTTGTTGTTGATACTGATAAATGTTTTATCTTATTTCAGTTCAAGTGGAGACCCTATTCACCGCCGGAGCTCGATATGCATACTCTTGCACCTATCTGTCGAGATAGTCTTGACTTGTAGAGAGCCAGAGTTCCATTGATCTGTTGGGAGATTGTGGAGATACATGTCCCCGACCGTGTGCTACGGCAATTTCTGCTCTCTCAGTATGTGTCGGATCCTGTCGAGCAAATCGATCATAGGTGACGACCTACATTGCATCGTACGGACTAGGTCGTACTCCGTGCGGCCTACATAGACAGGTGGATTTCACAGGTGATATTTCATACAAGATACGAGAGACACATCTGTTGACTATATCATGTATATGCGTTGGTATTGGGATGTCACACGTAGATGGATCACGTGTGACCCACAGCCATCAGCTGGACACCTGTCACGCCCACCGACAGATAATTACATCCCTA